TTTCTCACTTTCTATCTCTCTGTTTCTCTCTGTCTGGCGAGCGCACGTGCCCTATAGCAAAAACCTCACAAAAAAAAAAAGAGTGGGACCCCGGAATCTTCATTTTAATACACTTTCTCCACTCCCTTGACCCCCATGACCCAGACTTCTTTTTTTCTCTCATTGCCAAGGGTATGTGTGCTCACCAGAGAGAAACAGAGAAAAGGGGAGAAACACTCCCAAATGGGGTGTAATCAAAATTTCTTCATCCTGTCAGAATTTGGGGCACATACATACACACACCTGGAGTGTTTTTCAAGCCACTTAATTCAAACCACGGTTGTCCAAGTGGGATTTGACTCCCTTAACCAGCCTGACCCAGACTTCTTTTTTTTTTAAATTATTTTATTTAACTTTATTTATTTTAATTTGACCAGAGATGGGGAGAGAGCGAGAGAACAGAGAGAAAGTGAGAAAGCAAGTCACCAGGTCTGGGACTCGAACCACAGTTGGCCATGTGGGAGTCCAGCACCCTTAACCACCACACCACTTGCCGGCCCTGACCCAGACTTGTTTTTTAAAATTATTTTTAACTTTTTCTATTGGGCACATGTGCTCATCAAAGACAGAGAAAGAGAGAAAGTGAGAAAGCACCCCCCACAGGGGATGGCCATACTGCAACCCCTTCTCCACTGTCTCCTCAGGATTCTGGGCATGTACATATGCCTGGCATGTTTTTCAAGCCACTGGGTCTCATACTCAGAGCACTCAGTTGGGGGAACCAGCAGTTAGCGTAATGGCTATGTCGCTGGACTCCCATGGAGTCGACTGCGGTTCGAGTCCCGGACCTGGTGGCTTAAAACTCATGCCGGGCGCGTGTGCGTGCGTGCCCAAGATCCCGAGAGGAGAATGGAGGAGAAGGGATTGTGGTGTGACTATCCCCCCTGAGGGGTGATTTCTCGCTTTCTGTCTCTCTGTCTCTGTCTGGTGAGCGCATGGGCCCTATAGCGAAAACCTCTCCAAAAAAAAAAAAGCCTCTCAGTTTGCCATGTGGGATCCAGCTGCCCCTCCCTCCCCCGACTTCCATGCATGACAGAATTTGGGAAGCATTCACCAGAAACTGGAGGAGATGAAACAGCTAGAGGCACCAGAAGCAAGCAGCGAGAGTGTCCACAAAGGTGGGCGGGACTGGCAGGCAAGCACAGGACACTGGCGTCTTCTCCAGAGCATTCTGAACACCCACGGTCCCTATAGAGCCCAGCTGCCCTGCCCTACTCACAGCAGTGATCTGGCTCCAGTTCCCAGAGTGCCCAAGCTCCTCCTTCAGGTCCTCATAGGATTTAGAGTTCTGCATGTAAAGTAACAGGTTAGATCTGGGTCTCAGCAGAGGGGACAAAAGGCCATCTTCCTTCAGGACTTGAAAGAAGGTGGGTGGGGCTGGGGCCCATCAGTGAGAAGGGAAAGTGGAAGCTCAGGCTCAAGCTAAAGGAGGGTGGCTGAAAAAGTGAGGAAGGGGACTGACAGGGACTAATGGGGTGGGGTTGAGGGCGGACAGGGCAGAACAGGGCAGAGTGGGCTGTTTGTCCCTGCACAGCCGGACATAGGTATGTAGAGGAATATGCTCTTTTCCCACCCAGAGAAGTAGGTGCCAGCAACCCCAGGCTCTGGGGCCCTAGGACTCCTGGGGAACTGAGGGCTCTTCCCAGAGCTTGGAGCAGAGCCCTCCTGTGAAGGATGAAAGGAAAAGGGATTATGGCTCTTTGGGAGCCCCATCACCCTACCCCCATTATGCTGGGGACACTCACACTCCACTTGAAGGGATCCCATGCCAGGAACCAGCCTGTGAAGGTGGGGGGCTCATGTCCCTGCTTCACCACAATGATGGGAGTCTCGAGGTCTCGACCGCTGGGATGTGTCTTCAGGTATTCCTGCACGGTGGTGGCTGCAGCCTTCTTCTCCTCCTCATTAGCGTGCTTCCCAATCCAGAAGAAGACCTGTGGAGGAGCCAGTGAGCCCAGTCAGTCCTCATCCTCCCTGGCCCCAGGCTCTGCCTTGGTTCAGCCAGATGTCCATCAGCACAGCCCTGACCCTGCCAGTGACCATACCCAGCAAACAGCCTTGAGCGAGGCCCGTCTGGCCTTACTCTTGCATCTGGAGATGAGGTTGGGCGGATACCTTTGACTTGGACATTCTGCCTATGTGTGACTTCCAGCCTCACTAGAGCACAAAATTCTCAAAGTCTCGTTTAAGCACTATGCATGGCAGGCCATGGTTTGAATCCAATCCCTAGCGACTTGGAAACTGTATGTGTGCGCGTGCACGCGCGCATGCGTGTGCCTAAAATCCCTAAAGGAGGGAGATAGAGAAGGGATTATGGCATGATGACACCTCATTGGGGATGGCGGGTGGCGGAGAGGGGATGATTTATCTTTTTCTCTGGCAAGTGCACATACTCTGGCAATTAAAAAAAATGTGAAAAAAACTCTCGCACTACCATATGAAATAAACAGGACTTTAAGAGAGAAGAATACATCCTGGCCAGCGGCCGTGCATGGCACGTTCCTCCCCTTCCTTCTCTCTTAGGCTCCATTCCCAGGGAGAGGGTACACAGGCTGACCTACCCCTGAAGCTACTCTTTCTTGGCCCTGGGGATTGAGGTGCATGGAAAAGAGGTCCCAGACCCTCAGTCCTACCTGGTCCCAGACATCTAGCAGGAACACATCATCCTCTCCCAAGTCATCTTGATTGAAGTCAAGGATCTCTGTGGCCAGAAAGCGCCCGGTCTTGTTAGAACACTCAAAGAGCCGGGGGGCGATGGCCAGGTTTTCTTCCTGCAGTCTGCAGGATGGAGAGGAGACGGTGTTGTCAGGAGGAAGGTGTGAAGAAAAGAGAGCGGAGGCCACAGCACCCTGAGGGAGAGACTCTGACACAGTAAGGCAACATGCCCTGTGGCAAGGGTTGCACCTCATCCCATGAATTTCCTGAACATGCATTCCAGAGCTTCTGCCATAGTCCTGTTGGGAAGTTCTACCTACATCTTCCTCCTCTCTCTCCTGCTGCTACCACCATACAGACCTTTCTGCTTCGAAATGGGGATCATGGGTATTCTTCAGTCTCTTAATGGGGGTTTGCAGTTGGTGTTCCTCAGCATCTTGGACCTGGGTCAGTAGCTAAAGGCAGGTTGGATTCTGGCACCTTCTTCCTAGAGGGCAAATCAGAGCCCTGGCCCTCTATTTGAGCAGCTTGCTATGGCTATGAATTCCCTTTGCCAGTGAAGCATACCACCAGGCCCTGGGCAGATATGACACATAGCACAGACTCAGCCCCTTGGCCTAGAGTAACCTGGGAGCCTGGCACAGTGCCAGGCACACAGTCCTTGGTCCATGCCTGCTGCAGCTATAGGGGATGAGGTAGGGTTGAAAATGCTGGGGGCGGGGGGTTCTCCAGCCTCAGGTGATGAGCTGGTGCTGAGGGGTCCGATAGTTACCTTTTACTGTTAGCATACGGGGCCTTCCCTCCCAGGGCCATCCAGAAGTTGGCTGGCTCCTGCCCTTCCACCACCACTTGCTTCTCCGTCTTGGAGATGATGTCAGCAACCATCTTGGCCATCTCCCGCTCATCCCCGCTACAGCCCTGGAGAGGGAGGGAGGGATGCTGACATGCGAGGAGAGCCCATCTCTAGTTTCATCCCTCCCTTATCCTTTTGCCACATTCACTGTCCACAGCTTGGGATCGGAGAGGGCTCCTGGATCAGGACTCCGTGCACCTAGCCCTGGCGGGACATTCTCCGATTCTCTGTTCTATCCTTGACACTCCAAAGATAGCAGAGGAGATGAGAGAGTCTGCTCTGTCCTTAGTGCAAAAAGGACTGCCAGAGGCTGGGACTTTTGTTTCCGAGAGAAAGGAGAGACAAGGCTGAGACAGACAGGAGTGGCCAGGAACAAACAGAATGCAGGAGACTGACTCATGCAGAGGCACACATGGGGCAGAACGACTGACTCAGAGCTGTAGAGGACAGACAGGTTTGCAGAGGCAGCTGGAAACAGGTGAGCAGGACCTAGCGGGCCAAAGGCTCCACGAGACCCACCCAGTCTGCTCTGAGGCAGGGTAGGCCTCTGGGTCCCACACACACCTTTCCACACCACAGGTAGCAGCAGGACTGGGTCTTGAGGATGAAGACATCGTTGGAGTTGAGGGAGGTGGCCCGGGCCGGAACCTCAAAGGCTTTGGTGTTGTTGGCGCTGGTTCCTCGGACCTGGAACAGCCGTGTAGAGGGCACGGGCTCCGTGTTGTTGGCTCGGGAGGTGCCTCCCTGCAGGGGTGGGGAGAAGGCAAGGAGACACAGACAGGGGTAACTGAGTAAAAAGGACCACGGGGTTGAGCAGGCAGTGGTGCAGCAACAATGCAACGGGCCCACCTGGGGAGATCCTGGGTTTGGGTTCTGGGACCTCCCTGAACACATGGGACATGTGTTTGCCTGTGATCCAGGCTGGCTAAGGTTGAGGAAGGCTGTGGCATAAAGGACCTGTTGGGGGTGGCTGGCAGGTGGCATGGTGGTTAAGGGTGCTGGACATCCACATGGCTGACCATGGTTCGAGTCCCAGATCTGGCAGCTTGCTTTCTCACTCTCCTTCCTTCCTTCCTTCCTTCTTTCCTTCCTTCCTTCCTCTCACTCTCGCTCTCGCTCTGTCCCTCTCTGGTCAAATTAAAATAAATAAAGTTAAATAAAATAATTCTTTAAAAAAAAAAAGGAAAAAAAAATAAGCTGTTGGGTGGGGCCAGCAGGTGGCATGGTGGTTAAGGGTCTATAGTTCAACTCCTGGACCTGACGGCTTGCTTTCTCACTTTCCCTCTCCATCCCCCTCTACCCTGCCTCCTCTCTGGTCAAATTGAAATAAATAAA